ACCTTGTTGGTGTTTAACTAAAATATTAAATAAACAAACTATTACAAGGACAGTAGGAAAAGTTGTCTTTTTATGGAGCATGAAGGTATCTCCTCTGAAAAGTCTCATCTATTTGGTGAGAAATGTCCACTCACTGTCTTTCACTGTAGGAGGCCCACACGGAGAAATATGAAGTACAAAGCTTTTGTTCAGAGAGAATTGCAAGAAAAAGTAAGATAAATCAGTGAAGCTTTTAATGTGAAGCTTTCACTGTGGAAATGTTTCATAGTATGATACAGGCCTGCACAAAGATGCCAAAGGCAAGAAAAAAAGATTTTGCCTTGAAAGAAAGAGCTTAAACCTTGGTTAGGACTCACCTTATACTGGACTTGCATGATAGAGGAAAAAATAATAACTCTTTAAATAAAAGAAACTCTTGCGAGGAAAACCTGTTGCTGAGATCAGGTGAAGCACTACCCAGGTCTACGCTTGAAAAAGTTTTGCAAACTCAACTACTTGGCTAGGAATATAGGAAAAACAATATACCCATAACTATTTTGGCAGAAGTCATAGCATAGGTGCAGTCACACAAACACAAGCAAGACGCCCTGCTGGAGCACTGGACCTCATGACTAGCAAAACCTCTGCAGGGAACCCAGAGAGTAATTAAAACAATTCCAGGGCAAGGATGCTGTGTGAGCACAAAACAGAGGATGAAAAACACATAGCTTTGTTGCTCTGGCATGCAGGCTGTGCCTCAGATATGAAGCTATTTGCATTAATTGGAGGTAGGTAGAAGAATCAAGGCTAGAGTAGAATAGTTTGCTTTATGTGTATGGAAAAAAAAAAAAAAAAACAAAAAAACCCACAAACCAAAACAAAAAAAACCACCCACATTGCTAGTACCAACCAGATAGTTGTAGGGGAGTTTTGGGATATAGTCTTAGGAGGCTGCCTGTGCCTCAGCAAATGTGTCACTAATACCACATAAGGCCAACATTGCCTGACTGAAAATGTCTGCTACATCTGAGAGGATGTAGCAGAGTTGAGACCAATGAGGGGGAAAAAAAAAAAAGTTAATTGATTGTTTGCAAAGAGTTGCAGTAGAGGGTCGCAGTAAAAGTAGGAAAAAAAGTATGTGTCCTGCAATAGATGAACGGGGAAATATAACATAATATCAGGTAAAGAAAAAAAGAGAGTGGGATCTTCTTCCAGTAGGAGCACAGGAACCTACAAACATCACTGAAGCTACCTGTGCACCCAAGCCCACCAGGACACTGAAGGGAAACCCTGTGGACAACCCATGCAACCCTCGGTCAGGTCTGTGCATGAAAGACTCAGTAGGGTTGAGTAAAGAGGGACAGGCTTGCACTCTGGCATGCACTCTGGCACCAAGTAGTGTGAGTGAGAAGGGTGGCAGAACTATAATAAAATAGTTGGTGTGGGTTATAAGATCCAAGAATGAGAATTAGTTTTATATTTGGTTGTAACTGTGCAAAATGATACAATTATAAATTAATGGCAACAGTGTATCTATTACTAGTAGAGCTATAATTAGGCTACTTACTAGTATGTTGTTTAATCAATAGATGTTGCTGTCTATTAAATCAGTTATGACTAATATTAGCTGCAATCTAAAAGGATAAGTGGACTCTGAAGCAACAAGGAACAAAAAAAAAAAAAAACCCAGCCAAAATACAAACCAATGAATCCTCTTTATTGCTATACTTTCTCCAAGAAGCTTGTACTAGTTATTGGTGATAGGTATGAGAGGCTGGTGGTATAAGCTACTTGGCAGTGTGGGAGGGTGTGATTTGCTGATATAGTTATATCCACAGTCCTGTATCAGCCAATCAAAGAAGTTACAGACATTGATGTAAAAGATTTTTCTGATTACTAGACTGCTATCTTTGTGTCTTTTACTCTTCCCAATTATATTAGTGATGATATAATCTTCTTGATAAGGAACAAGAGGCTTTTTCACTCGTTAATGCTGCAGAAGCATCCAAAGTGAAGAGTGCTTTAGATATATGAAGCCTCTACCCCTCTAAGTAAAGAGCTTTCTTTACAGGCATTTTTGAGCTGCTTGTCTCCATGGTCAAAGCCTTCAATCAGGCAGATAAAGCAACACACTTATTGGCCAGCTAAGCAACCTGCCAAAACAGAATTCCCACTGCCAGCACTGATACCATTTCGCTTAGATGTAGTTTCTCATCCCACAGGCTTCGGCTGTTTGAAAGGAAAGCAGTTCTCAGAACAGATGGAGTTGGTAATAAAGCTCTTTCTAGGAGGCACAAGAATTACACAGGGAATGAAATGGCGAAACAGTGTCTGGAGTATACATGGTAAACTTGAACCACTTCAAGTAAAATTCCCTTCCCACCGAGAACAACATGGTGGGGCAAAGTGGAAGTGACAGCACAACTTTCCAAAACATTAGCTATCATGGCTGTTTCCCCTCAGAACATTGGCTACGCAAAAACTACTTGAGACACACGTTCCAACCATGCACCCACAAAAGAAAAATTAAAATCTTGTGACTTGTCATTTTGAGTCAGCGTCAGGAGCACTGCCAAAAAAAAAAAAAAATGAAGTAGCTGTCTCAAAAGAGCAAGAGAGAGTCTATGCACCAGCCAGGAAAACTGTGCAGGCACTTGCCTGTGTATAGCAGAGGTCCTGAGATCATCTACAAAGTCTTATTTGGTTTCTGCTAAGAGATCTACCCCAGCTATCCTGCTTTCAGTGAAGCAGGAAGACTTGTATCTCAAAAGTCCAGTGTCATTCCACTTTCCTGGGCTGTCTGCTTGGGCTTTGACTGAAATCTCTGCAAGGCAAGGCCCAGACTCCTGGATATCTGCAGAGCAGCTTCTGTAGAGCTTCTGCAAAGAAAAAAGGCTGCTTTGAGTCAGCGCTTCAAAATCCACGGGCACCAGCAACACTGTTCCAACTGAATAGGTTGGGCAGAGGGAAGGTCCAGTAAAGAACAAGCCCAGTGTGTCCAAGTAAACCATTCTAGTCCAGACCAAGGCTCCATTTAACACAGTAACCTGTTCCCAGCAGTGTGGATAAGCAGGTATGCAGAGAAGAGTAACAGCAGGTCAAGCATGTATGGTATTTCTCCCATGTGTTTTCCCAGCTTCCACTGATTTTCATCTTCAGAGAGGCTGATTTGGTTTATTTAGTGACCCTCAGTGGGTCTCTTCGAAGCATTTGCCCTATCGTTCGATTCGCCTTCTTCATTGTTATTGAGCATTAAGCTGACATTTTAAATGAAGGACCATGATAATATCATTCCTAAAAAAGATAATATCTCAAGGTTATGTTTTCGCAGTCCTAATCTGAAGTACTTCACATTTTCTAATAATTGCTATATCCAGTTTTCACTGTCTTTGTAGACCTTAGCAGGAAGGGACTTTTACTTTATGTGATTCTAGTTTAAATGCATTTACTGTAACCCTAGACATTGTCTCTCCTTACTATTCCTTTCACAATTGTGCTTGCTTTCATCAGCTGTCAGCTGGGTACAACCAAAGTCCTGTCAAACCAGACAAATCTGTAACCCAAATCTGTTTATGTGACTTGTACATGTTTTGGGCCTAAGGACAGTTGCCTGGATTCTCACCCTGGCCGTGGACATATAATATACCGTTATGATAGTGTCCAAAAACACGAAGCAGGCCTGAGCCTCATTATTCAAAGCAAGGTCTCTTGGATTGCATTGACTTGGCTTTTAAATTTAATGCATCAGTTTTAAATCTTGGCCCCCTCTTTAGTCTATGGATTACTTTTATTACCTTTGTTCAGGCCAGGATTCTGCCTGAGTAACAGCTCCACTGTTTAGCATTATTTCATAATTATCTTGTTATGTGCTATCCTGTTTGCTAGAGTACATAGGCTTTCCCCTCTTCAGCTTTATTCGGTGGCAGAGCAAATTATACTCCCACCCTTCAGAGCAAGAAAGGCTGAGGTGGCCAAAGTGGTCTTTTATCCAACTCTCAGCCAATTTCTCCTTGTCTCCAGTTCAGAGAAGACATTTGCTTTAGGGTTGAATTTAGCTTGTAGCTTTTTCCAATTGGTGCTCTGACTGGGAAAGAACTTTTTGGCAACTACAGTTTGAAGTTCTATTCCAATCCTGGGTCTTAAACTGAATGGGAGAAGTTTACTCGAGATGCAGCAAACCTCCCTTCTCTTCCTTACTGATCATTACCTGCCACCTGCAACATCCACTTTTTTTTTGCATAAAGCACAACTTTAAAAAACCTAGTGCAAACAACAAGTGCACAGTGTCGCTAGCAGGCAGCTAAATAATCAGGTAGACAGAAGGAAAAAACCAGTATACCCTGATTTGGTATACTGTTACATAGTACACTGCTAAGAACCATTGAACAAAATGAACATAAACACAGTATTTAGCATAGTCAAGCAGAAAGGATTTGTTCCTAAAATTTTCAAGGCTGTTTTATTTGGTGTCAAGTCATCAGTCATACCTCCCTTCCCTCTAACAGACAGATTTGTTACTAAGAAGAACATAGAAACCAAATTGTCAGCCTTGCAAAATTTGGTCTGACTTTGTGTGATTAAGATGGGGTGGTTTAGATAGCAATGTTTTGCAGCCAGAAGGGCTAAATAGGCCTGTCTGAGGTCTTGACCCAAATGCTTTGACCTCAAGAAAAGAAACTGGCAGTGAGAGAAAAACTAAACAATTTGCTGCATTGTTCCAACATGCACTGAGGCAGGGCTATGCCATGCAGGGAGTAGGTGCGATTAGCTTATTTTTCATTAGTTTAAACTAACATGAAGCAGAAAGCAGAAGTCTAAGCACACGGAAATAGCACACTCCAATTCTGATTAGCCTCTTGTTTATACCACGTTGTGGTAAGCTAAGGCTGCATTGGCTCACTTAACCCTTCTGCAGGCGTGAATGTAGTAACTCCTGTCTCCCTTGCAGAAAGGAAGGAACGCCTCCCTCCACAGAGGGCTTGCAAGAGACAGAAGTAATCCTGCAAGCTACCACCACCACCATGAAGACATCAAATGTTCTTGTTCTCATCTTAGTCCTGCTTTACATCAATGCCAGCACAGAATGGCCTATACACACAGTCTGCAAAGAGGACAACTTGGAAATACATTACAAAAGCTGTGGTGAGACTTTTAAAATTTCCATTTTCCTTTTAGCTGGGCAACAAAGTTGTTCTTATGCAGTGAGAGAGTCTTATAAACCAGGGAATGAATGGAAGGGTTACACTCCCAAGCCAGCACCGGGTTTCTCAGCTAAAATATTTTTAGTCTTTCAAATATAGCTGGTTTGGTTGACACACGCACACACACACAAATCTAACTGTATTTAGATAGAAGAAAATAGAAGAAATAATGTACCCTAATTCAGAATAATAAACAGCTGTCAAAAAGCCACTGTAGCATGAGAGATGACTAGGATTTTTATCCTGAAATTAGGTTAAAAGAAAAAAAAAAAAAAAAAAAAAGAGGAAGATCCTAGATCTTTATCTTTTTTACCTGTGGAACGACAGAGACTCTTCAATGCACTGATCTGCTGTTTTCCTAATGTGCAGCAAGGCTATGGTGATGTGCTTTCTGTCCTCCCACTTGGAGTGACAAGGGACCCAGCATGACAGTGGGAAGGATTCATGTCCTCCACCATTGCCACTGTGCTTAGCAAGACTTCAGCGGCAGCACTTAACAGAGGCATTTCCCAGGGACCATAGGGTTTTGTTTGTTCTTTAAATCTGTCGAGAAAAGGAGCAAGCTGCACTGGAATGACTGAAAATTAATTCACTGAATGGTGCCTGCTTTCCACCTCTTGCTTTGCTGGCCTTGTGCCTCTCCTATTGTGCTTATCTGCTTTACAACTGGGACAAAGGGAATTAGATTCACAGACGCCTCATTCATTTTCTGCACGTGATGTGAAAAGCGATTCATGGCAAATGAGCACCCTAGAGTTTGTTTTTCCAATTCATCCTGATACAAAGGGTTTCCCAGGGGGCTTTTTCTCCCCTGTAGCTTTCATGCAGTTTTGCACACCCATTAAAATAAAGGCAGTGAGGGACAAGAGAAGTAAATAAATATTTGTAATACTGTTCTTTACTGGCCTGCTCCCAGAAGACTAAAGTCAGGCTCCACATATTATAAATGGGTATACTATATTATGAAATTATTTAATTAGATATTGAATACAATCTTTGGTATTACCTTTATTTTAGTAAGAATTCATTGTATAAGTTAATTCTGTTCCTCAACAGGTCTCAGGTAGCATGAGATGCCTTGACAGAGAGGCACAGCCTATAGTTTGAGTCAATTCAAATGATGATGAAATCTCCTAGGCACATGTCAGTCAAGTATTGCTTCTTTTATGCACGCCAAGGGCCTAGCTAACAAAATGCATTTGTTTAGAGCTTGTATGTCACTTATTTTGGTTTGCCACACACAGAAAGGTAAGAGGTACATTCATTCAGGAGGAATTCACAGCTTCAGAAGCACAAGCCAGAGATCACACAGGTCAGGTCCCAATACTGAAGGTGGTTTTCTGTTCTCCTGGACACAACTATAGGAGATGAGAAGATTACACACATGTAGAAACAATGCAAGAATTAAATCAGATTCGTTGTTTGAAGCCCACTTCCTTGCTTCCTCACAGCTCTGGCAGATTCAGTTGTGGCAACACTCACAACTGCTGTCACAATGTTCTGCCCTGCCTTTTTCCAGAGGCTACCACACCTCTAGCATCAGACCAGGGTGCACCATCTGCATCTCTGCTGACCCAGCTCATAGTCTGGTAACTTGCATAAAGTAGAATAATATAAGGTGTTTTGGGCTGAGCCCAAAAAAATCTATGGGTGGGGAGTATAAATCCAAATACACTAGTCTACGTTCCCTTCAGAGAAGGCACTGCTACTGCTCTTACTGAGCTCATTGGCAAGCTCACAAAAGTGCCAAAGGTGCCGATCACCCTTTCAGGGGAGGGGAAGCTTTGTCCCCACTTTGTTTCACTGTAGAACACAATTAGATGGGTAGAACATAGCTTCATTCTTTATCTGTGTCCTGTCAATTGTTCTTACCCAGGAGGAAACAGACGTGCTAGTGCCTAGGTTTGACAAAACCCTTTCGCAACAATCCTTCTCATGACAACCTTGTAATGTCAGCAAGCACAGAGTCAATGCTAGGCAACTGCCCATACTCTTTAGCTGTTTCAGGGGAAGACTGCCCCACGTGTCCCTCCAGTCTGAGAAATCCCCATGGTATTTCCTGCTCCACTGAAGGTGCCAGAGGATGACACATTTTTGTGATACAACGGCTGCAGTGAGGTATCTGGTATGAAATCTTGGGTAAAGTATTTCCTGTTGGCTTCAAAAGGGTCAGGATTTCATCCCTGTTGCTGTTACTATAAACTCTAGAATGTTATCAGTGAATCAGGGTTGAATTAAGTAAAAATTAAGGAAGCTGAGAGAATTTTAGCCAAGTACTTCACAACTTCACTTCTGGAGCTGAATGCCCTCTATCAACAGATTAATAGAGTTCAGTCTGAGCATTTAAAGAGTAGTTAAGTGTTCATTTTTACTTTGCAGTTCATCAGATCTTCCCCTATAATGCAGTAAAAAACTGACTAAAGCCAAGAATATGAGCTAATATAACTGTGATGAGTGTAGCAGAGAAGCTTAGGTGGATAACTGAAGACACAGAAAGAATAGCAGTGGCCTGTATCCAGGAGCAAGTCCCCATTCCATTGCAAGCACTTGCTCTAGCTGTATCCTGCCCCTATAATGCATAATATATAGGCATGCATCAAGCCCTCAGCCTCAGTCCATGTTCTGTATGCTATAGAAAGGATCCCCATTCACACCCAGCCACATCAGACTAAACGTTCAATAACCAGGACCTCCAGGCATGTATCAAAAGAAAGTGCTAGACAAGACCTTAGCGATCAATATAATGCACTTGTAAAGAAAAAAGTCATCTAAAAAAATCAGACCAAAAAAAAAAAGTCTCAGCAGCAAGTCCATGGCGAGAAACTTAGGCTGAGATATGGGTGGTCTAAAAGTGAAGTAAATAGACAGTATGCTGCCTCCTCTAGATAACCACAGGAGATAAAACAGCTAGACAGTCTATAAATAGCAAGACATTTCCTATCAGTGCCTATCTTCCTCCCAGGAACAAGTGACAACAACGAAGGAAGATCTCGATGACCACAAATCACTTCAGAAACCTAGGCAGGGATCCCGAGATAAAAGCAGCACAGGTTAACATCTCCAACTGAGAAAAAGAGAATCGTAATTGGCAAGTCTATGTAGAGACATGAAAAGAATCCGCTACACAAATGGCTGATTCCTAGCCCTTTTAATTTCACAGTGATTTTTACGATAATAACTTTTATCTTTCGAGACATGTTTTAAAAGGTGATTGTCTGGGAAGGGAAAGGCAGGAAGGCAACAGTAGCAAAGTGCCCTGAGCAGATTCCACTGTTATTTGAGTGTCAGGCATCTGAAAGCGCAAAGTGCAATCCAGTCAGCGACTAAAAAATACAACTCCTCAACACAGCTACCAGCACCTGCTTCTAGACTATTCATGTAAGTTTAATTGTCTTAATCAGCCAGGAAAACATTATCACAATGCAGTGTTCAAATAGGGCCCTCTTCATAGGGTAAATAAAGCAGGTGATTGCTGCTGCAGACACATGAAAAATTTTTCCAGCTATTCTTACTGCTCTTTCTTGAAATGTTAGTTGAGCCTATGTCAACAAACCAGTATTTCAGAATGTCTGCTTTCATTTCAACCAGCAAACCCAGCCCAGTGTGCTCAGTGATTAAAGCTCTACATTCAGATTAGGACCTGGGACATTTCAGAGCTCCCTGAAACCATAGATTTCTTGACAGTGCAGAAAAGGTTCTTATGGTCTGGAGAGCATCAGCCATTAAGGACTTTGTTTTCTGTGCATGGGAGTAAATAACAGGGAATTTCAGGGAGATCTTCAGGAGAGTCAAAATAGTAGTATTTGGAGACAACATCTTGAGAAATATTCCCTTGGCTTTATAAAGCACTGTTCAGATCACATGGGATTTTTTACTATCACAAACAAACACATTTCCCAATAAATCTCTGGCTTTAATTGCTTTTTCTCTTTGTGTTTTTTTTTTTTTTTTTTCCATCTGAAGAAAGGTTAATAGCCATTAGCTGAAGTTTCAGTAGAAGCAGCAAGCAATCAGTATTCATTTCAACCTCCAGAACCCAAGTATGAAACTCACTGCACCCTTCTTTACAAGCTTTATAGCTATGTATCTACATATTTAAATTAAAAAAAAAAATTATTTAGGGATAGGGGTAACCATTTGCTTTAATTAATGTCTTCTGCCAGTCAAAGAAGCAGGGCCCTCTGGTCATCTACAGAATTATTTTTATGTGCCAGTGTCACTTCCTAAACAGAGCAAAGTCAGACTGAACTTACATCCACTGAGCTCCATGGCTCATAGCTCTGTCACACTTCAGGCAGGGTCATTTCTATAAAGCTTTTTCCTGCGCTACATTAGTACAGTAGGAGAGAGCAGCACTGCCCACTTCAGTATGAGTTTGCACTGGATTGCATTTACAGACAGAGAAACTCTCATTTGTACAGCTTTTCTTTAAACTTGTGAGCTCGGATTTGGATCTCTTAAAATGGCCCCTTGAAGTCATCAGGGTTATTCTGGTGTAGAACCTATTCTGTTCAGATTGCACAGTATAGACACTCTCCTGTTAAACTCTGCTTTGAGGGAACGTTTCAGTGCCTAAAAGTGGAGACTGATAGACTGGCTAGATTACAATTTTCTGATTATTTCTGTCCATGATGAATAGTTTTTGTCTTACTAGGCTCCCTTTCGCACACTCAGCCAGTCATATCCTTTTCTCCTACATACTGAGAGATCAAATATACTAACTAGCTTAAAATCTTCATTTTCCTTTTTTAAAAATAGACCTGTAACACCCATCCCTGCTCAATCAGCAATACCAACTTGTAAACAATCCTGCTAAATTATCATCACTGCAGCACTAATTTTACAGAACATCACTTTCCCTTTTTTATGTAACCAATGTTACTAATTCTTTTTTCCTCTCCGGCCACACACCTACATCCTTTAGTTAAAGGATGTAAGGAA